TAAGTTTCCCTTTCCTCTTGGGTGGGGAGAGCTGTATTTTGCTTTCTTATAGAGATGTATGCTTAGATATGCTGGTGGGAGACACGGATTTGGCTCCCGCTGCGCTGGCTGTGGTCCAGCGTGAGTGATATCTGTTATCTGGGATGTCGGTAAAATAGCAGTGAAGAGAGATGCCGCTGACTCTGTCAAGTTCTGACTCGGCCTGTGAAATTCAGGGTTTTCTTTTTTTTTTTTAGATTAACCCCCAGTGGACAAGGCAAGGCTGAGCTGAAGATGACACATTTTTCTAACAGCGTCGCAATGAACCTTGCAGAACGGGTGCTTGCATTCCCCTTGGGTAAGGGTGGTACAGAGACACTAACACGGTTTTAATGCTCCCAGCAGCTCTTGATAACCTGGGAGGAACGCAGGGAGAGGGTTTTGCCTGCGTTCTTCTGCCCCAGCTGCTGCATATAAGTTCAGTCTTGGAGACCGAGGTTGATCTAGCTCGAGAAGCCTGTTTTTGAAGAGCTGCCTGATGAGGCTAGACGTGCCAAATAGATGATTACCGGGCAGAGCGGCGGTGCGATCCCTTGCCTGCCAACCTTTTGCTGTGTGCCTTCTGCCCTCTGAAGCCGATTTCTCCCTCTGCCTTTGCTTTGCCAAGTGCTCGTAACGGTGACTGGCTGCGTGCTGTGAGCACCGCTGCCTTGGGAATGCGGCTGCTCCCACACAGCCAGCACTGAGTAACTGGGCTCCTACTGCTCTTAACGTAGGTGTAATTTTTGGTTTGTGACACAGAGACTGTTGGGCTCTATGGGTGATGAAGGGTCTGTGAAAGGGGGCTAAGAAAAGCACGTTTCTTGTCACCAGGCTAAAATATACTGTGTGGGGTCTGCATTGCCATGGGAGATCTCTCAGGAGCTCCCAGACTGAAAGAGGTTGAAAATTGCAGATCTTGCTTAATAGAGAAAGGAAAATCACAGAATCATTTAGGTTGGAAAAGACCTTTAAGATCATCCAGTCCAACCATTAACCTAACACTACCAAGTCCACCAATAAACCAATTAAGGGTAGAGTCATCATTTCATGTTTCCTGCCTTGGTGGCTGGATTGTTTTTTAATGAAAGTACAAACTAGGAATCACTAAGGTTGGAAAGGACCCCTAAGATCATCAGTCCAACCATCAACCCAACACCCCCATGCCCACTAAACCATGGCCCAAAGTGCCACCTCTGCCCGTTTTTTGAACACTTC